TGAATGCTCACTGGAAATACGAAAGATAAGGAATGTTTGAGCCCTCGGTGTAATGAACGGTTTAAACTTCTAAAAATATCTACTTTTCATCACGTAGAAGTACTATGCTGAAAAATCTTTGCATTGCTGCTCTCACCGATGCTTTTAAAGCCTACTGGCATACCTGTCACTACACTAAAACAAAAATGATTTTCTCCCAAGCAGCAGTGGTCCGTCAAATCTACATGCGCCGCCTCAGCTTTCTCAGCCCTGTGGGACCGCGCGGATCGGCTGACGGCTGTGGGACAGGATTCCCCCGGGACAGACGGGCTCGCCAGCGCTCAGACAGACGGAGCGGGCCGGGCGAGACGCCCGCCTCACGCCTACTCACAGCACGCACACACACACGGGCTCTTGGCTACCCAGAGCCTCTGGCTCGCAACGGAGCCGGCGCTGCAGCCGAGCTGCCTCGGGTGGCTCCAGCCCCGCTGCGCACGAGGGGAAAGCAGGCACCGGACACCAGCGAGTACGAATACAGGGTAAAAATAACATGTTAAAGTCATTCGCGTAACATCGCAGTGTATTTCTGTATATTCTAAAAGGACTACTATGACACTGTACTTTGACCTTTCGTGCAGTGCAGACAGCAGAATTTTACTAGGCTGTGACTTGTTTTAACTACCGCGTATCCTATCAAGACATAAAAAGCATCGTGAAGTGTATTATATAAATCTACCTTACCATATCTATCATAAATCCACCGTATACTTTTTAGATGCAAATGCAAAAAGCTGTAGCTGTATTTAACAATTTTAAATAACTTCTGGGGGAATCTGATAACTTTTTTTTGGGGAAACTGCTTCACTGGATCAGAACTTCCTCACAGGTGGTGGTCGGGGGTTTTGTTTGTTTGTTGGGGTTTTTTTGTTTGTTTTTTTTGTTGTTGTTTGGTTGGTTTTTTAAAGTATTGCATGGGCACGAAGTCATAGCTTTGCCCATTTCTTTGGGTCCTGCACTACTCAGCCAGTTTGTGATGTATTTTTTTAAAGAATTTTAAATTGCAATTCTGAGTTAGGCGCCTCTGCTGGAGTTGCAAAGTTTTGAATACAATCTATAATATCTTAGGCTGCATGTCTTGTACCTGCTAAAAGCACAACTTCCTTCACTGACCCTACATAGTCAGGTGCCAAGTGGAGTATTTTGACTTTTATTGCAAAAAAGGGGATCCTATAGGAAATCCTATATCAGGTACCTAACACAATTTTAAACTACACACGCACACTCGTAATACCGGCAAGTTAAACTTACATTCTTCACATAGGTATTTTAACTATTTGCCTACCTGTAGAAAGGAGAAGCAACGTTTTCATGCAGAGATACTCTTCATATGAGACTTGAAGCCGCGATAGCTCTCGGGCAACCATAAGCATATGTTTGCATTGCTCATACATACAGGGTAGATTCATTCTCTGCCTGAGAAATAAGAGTATAAAAATCAGTTAAATGTCTAGCTATCTAAAAACTCTTAATCTCAGTTTCTCCACGCTTCATTCAAGAGCGGCAGGTGTTGTAGAGGCAGATGACAAGCTAGTACTTGATCTATCTTGCAGCAAAACAATCTCTGGTTTTCTCCAGTGAACTCACTCAGGGCGACGGCCCTGGTCACCACATACAAACACTGGCCGAGCACTGCAGCACGAGGGGAGCGTGGCGTATGAAATCCCAGCGCTATAAAGGAAGCCTGTCTCTACCAAGGACCGATCAGTAAGCTCTGTTATCAACAGCCAACACAACAGTTCAGCACAAACTTGACACAAAAATCAAGCTCAGCCACTGTGTGACAAGGTTCTCAAAGGCCGGCAGTTCCAAAGTATTTAATCTGTATAAAGAAACACGATGGTATCCTATACTGGAGCTGAGATTCCTCTAATTCTTTCAATACTTTTGAGAAGTCCACCTAAATTTAATACACATTTGCTCACTAGTGATAGCATCAACTTCCCATAACTTCTCAGTTTTCAGAGTGACTTTATACTTCTCATATCCTTTTACGTTCTTAAAGCAATGCCTAGTATTGCAACTAAATTTCATCACCTTTGTACTGTAACAATAAGGTTTCTAACCATAAATGGAAAGACATGTCGACAACCAAAGGGAAATCTTGGAAATCACTCACTTAGAATCAGAATGACAAACATGATGTATTTATGTATTCTTTTCCTTTTAGTTTTTCTACTTTAATGAAACCCTGCATCAAGACAGGAACGCCTCCTTTTATTTAGTACCTCAGCTGAAGCAAGAATCCTCTTTACATGTGCTTTTATAGCTGGTTGCTGTGAATACCGCAGGATTACAGTTTTGGGTGGGAAATGAACAACAAGAACAGATTAATTCAACAGTGTAAGAGAGCCTTATGCTTTTCGATGTAACCTTTTGCAGAGAAAAAGATAGGCAAAATAGTGCATTTCGAATGCAATGACTACACCATCTCTCCACAGTGATGCTAGCAATTTATTTTTCGTTAATGATGCGTCACCTTTTCTAAGACATCACCTGTTCAATAGTACAAAGACACAGGCAGAATTGAATCCCAGTGTAAGTTAAGAGGAAGATTTGGTTACGAAACGGCACCGCTTCCTCCAAAGCTGCTATCATTTTTCAGTTCTGCCTTTCTTAGCCCTGCAAGAGAATTACGTAACGTACCCTCACAAGCATCAGAAGAAACCCTAAGCGGAAACAAGAAGAAACACGCACCTTTCTCAAGGTGCAAAAGCCTAAGAATACCAGGAATTCAGATGGGTTTTGAAAGACAGAAAGAAATACAAGCTATTGAAACTGGATTAAACCCAAGTCTAAAACCCCGTCACTTCCAATTGCACCCTGTTGGACAATTCCTGCTGAGCGTACCAGGACTACGCGCGGCACTGCCTCGCACGCCAACGGTAGCTGCAGCTATACGCGTGCGTGCACGTACGGCAGGCTGCAAGCACTGACGTTACGTTAGGCTTCAATAATCAAGGAGTAACAGCGAGAACACAAAGTGTGCGCAAGGTAAGTCTCACGGGGTAGGAAGAGGAGTAGATGTTCAGCTGTAGGATGTTTCTCAGGGCGCTCGACACAAAGCCACTATTCGGCCATTTGGCAAATCTTCTCCTAACCCCTCCGGGCTGTATCAAAGGGCATCTTACATATTTCAAATTGAGTAATTTAAACACAATCCATGACAGGGCTCAGCAGTTTTCCCCATGTAAAACTATTACCATTTCTGGGCAGAAGGTTAAAACAAACATTATGAAATGTGTCAGCCTGTCATTTCTCTCTGCTGTAAATGCAATCATCACCGCACATCTGAGGATCTATCTGAAGACATGCAGATTTTTGGTAACAGCGAGGCTATGCAAACCGCAGTCCTCAAAAAGTGAGCGCGAAACACAGCCCCCCTCCCTTCGGAGGAGCCTGAGCGCGCAGATGAGCTCCGCACTACGCCCCGGAGGGCAGCGGATCCAGGCTGTGTCAGAACAAGAGGGAAGCTGATTCACTGGATAGAGCTTAACGCTGGCGAAGGGTCCGGGAAGAGGTCCCAGACATTCCCCTTCGCAGATCTGCTGGCCAGAGCGCATCAGATGATCTCAGCTGCCGCAGCGCCGTGCACGGAGGGAGGCTGCCCGAGCAGCCGGGTCGTGTCACGGACCACGGACCCCGTGGAGAGCAGGGCCTTCGGGGCTCTTTTTTCACTCCCCGCTCAGTGTCGCTGGTACCCCTCCCTAGAGGGGGCATTTAGCAGCTTTATCAATTCATTTACCCACACATAAACGAGATATAATACTTAAACTAGGTACTATACTTAGCTAATTAGAACAGCTATTATACGCAGCAACGACATCGCACGTGATTTCTTCTCAGCAGAAACTACCTACAGAACCCTGCCGGCTTTGCGGAGTGTTCAAGTAAAGCTCTGGTGGCCAGCAGGGCTAGCAATCGGGGCAAGCTGGCAGGTCTGGCGGTGCCTGCGCTCCCCAGGGGCTCCGGAGCCGCTGTCGCCGGAGGCAGAGCAGTGCCGGGGCCCGGGAGCACCAGGGAGCTCCCGCCGACGCTGGGCCGCTCACAGCGCTGCCAGGCTTTTGCAATTACTGCCATTCGTATAAATCGGGACTTAAACAGCTGAGTAACAGCATTTTATCACTTTCAAAGCGACCCTGCTTTAGCGATTGTACATCCAGTCCGATGTGAATCACCTTCCCGTTCTGGAAGTATCTAACACTCCTCTGCTTTTGTAACCAGCTGCTGCAGAATAAACCCCGCGAGTCGGGCATTAGCTGGAAGTTTTAGCTCAGTGAAAGCCCATGTAATGTACACGGGATGTACACATGCGTTCTGTGTGGGATGCACGTTGATGATAAAAGCACGTGATGATTTTCAACACTGCTGTGAGTCATTCAGTTCAGCTAAGTCTATAAAAGAATAAAAACCAGTAAACAAGATGCTGGTATTCTGAAAAACAGATGGATACCGAATCCACAGAATTAGTTACAAAAGAATGTTCGGAAAAAATTCTGAGAATGAGAACTGATAAAAACATTGCTTATTAAACTGTAGTCACCCATTATTTTCTTTCTATTCAAGTAATACCAATACAGATATTCAGCATGGTAGATAATATTATAAGGCCAAACGAGACCAAGGAGTTGACCACAGACCTAAGAAGAGCAAAGAGATAAGATGATGAGCATGCAAACAGAGTCAAAATCCTAAGACACGGGACTTCCAAGAACTTATTTCTAAAGCTAGGCAGCAATTAAATGGCATTTGCTACTTGATGAACACAACTGTGCAATAGTTACTGTTGCCCACTGTAGTTTCATGCACTCTGTGACACAAATACAGGCCTGAAGCTGATACAGTAATAGTGCCAACTCCAACAAAAGTATGTTTTGAATCACAAATTGTGGAAAGAGTTATAGAATACTACAAAATCACAGGTTTGTACAATCTCCAAATACTAAATGATGGTCTAAAGCCTGAGATTCATTAAGCTGCCAAACTTTTTAAGAGCTTGAATTGAGTTCTGTGTGTGTATGTATATATACATATAAATACATTGTTATATATAAAACTGCCAGGTGATATAGATGTACCTCCATTAAAAAAACATTTTTCTTGTTTTGAAATGTAAAATGATGGGCTTACTTAATGGATTAACGCGTGACTATTCAAGTAAATTATTTCTACCCAGAAATGAAACATAGAAATGAAAATCTAAAATACTTTCCAAAGCCTTACAATAACTTAAAGCACATTTTTGCCCCCTCCCTTGATGAAGAGATGAGTACGACTCCCCTCTCCCTGCCAGCTGTTTGGAGATTAAAACCTGTCAATGGCCGCTCTGTGGTTTTGCCCTGTGCAGAGAATGAGCTGGGGAAGGAAACACCCATTTTACACGCCAGAGGACTAAGGTGTGCCATGCCTGATAACAACAGTTTAATAATTGAAATAAAGTAAAATAGTAATGATGATAATAACAATATAATAATGATAATAACAATAACAATATCCAAAGCAAGTGATGCCCAATGCAATTGCTCACCACCCGCCGACCGATGCCCAGCCAGTTCCCAGCAGCGATCGCTGCTCCCCGGCCAACCCCCCCAGTTTCCATACTGCCCATGACGCCGTATGGTATGGAATGGCCCTTGGGGCAGTTGCAATGTTCTTATCTCAGCCCAGGAGTGTTTCTCACTCTCACTCCTCCGATTCTCTCCCCCATCCCATGGGGGCAGGGGCAGCGAGCGGCTGCGTGGTGCTGAGCTGCTGCCTGGGGCTGAACCAGGACATAGACAAACAAATTAAAAGCTGCACAGATGCAGCATAAGCGTATGAAGTGAAAACAATGCTATGTATACATATGGCAAGCCTTTCTGCACTCTAACAAATGCTATGGGAAATAATGTATTTTCATATCACAGCAACTTTATAATCCACCCTACCCAAGCCTATCAGATGTATTAACTTAGGATATCCGTTATGCAATAAACATTATTCAAATATATTGCATGATTTTCTGTTTGGTTTTGTTTTTTCCCTCCCCCTAAATAAATGATAGGGGTACAGACATAAAAATGGAATATTCAATAAATATTCAATTCTTAGGAGAAGACTGGTCAAATGACTAGGCTGCCAGCTTAAGACTTAAAAAGAACAGAGTTTAATTCTCCTTCCCACCACGGACTGCATCGATGATACTTGGAAAATTCAATTACGGAGGAATCAACAATGGTACTAATGAATAGTGGCATTCAGCACTACCGCAGCTAAAGCTACCTGAGCACTAAGCAAAACAAATCCACTGGTTTCTGGGAAGCTTTTTGTGCATTCATGGCAAGGTATTTAGAAATGCTAAGGCTCTGTTAGCTGAAAATGTAGCATGACAAATCTCTTAACGGGTTACACAGGTTCTTTATGTACAGCCCAGTTACACACAGTTGCCTGAAAAGCGTCGACATGAGCTAGTGGCTCTGCCACCCCGTTATCGAAGCAAGCAGTAACCACACAGGAATAATACTGGACAGGGTTGGTGCAAGGATAAATTGTGTGAAAGACTGATGCTGCTCAGACGCTTGAGCAGATACATGAAGCTAAAGAAAGTCTTATTATCCACATAAAGAATTCAGTCTTAAAAAAAATATTTCATAGCTATGTCCATTTAAATCACCGAGTGTTGTGGTTCAGCCCCAGCAGCAGCTCAGCACCATGCAGCTGCTCGCTCGCTGCCCCTGCCCCGTGGGATGGGGAGAGAATCGGAGGAGAGAGAGTGAAAAACACTCCTGGGCTGAGATAAGAACACTTTAATCATTGAAATAAAGTGAAATAGTAATGATAATAATAACAATAAAATAATAATAATAACAATATACAAAGCAGGTGATGCCCAATGCAATTGCTCACCACCCGCTGACCGATGCCCAGCCAGTTCCCAGCAGCGATCGCTGCTCCCCGGCCAACCCCCCCAGTTTCCATACTGCCCATGACGCCGTATGGTATGGAATGGCCCTTGGGGCAGTTGGGATCAACTCTCCTGGCTGTGCCCCCTCCCAGCTCCTTGTGCCCCTGGCAGAGCACGGGAAGCTGCAAAGTCCTTGCCTGGCATAAGCAGCGCTGAGCAACAACTAAACCCTCAGCGTGTGATCAGCATTATGCTCATCCTAAATCCAAACCACAGCACTGTGCCTGCTACTGGGAAGAAAATTAACTCTATCCCAGCCCAAACCAGGACACCGAGGCTTGGAGAATCCTTCAAAGACAGAGTCTCTCTCCCTGAAGCTGACGACACTGAATTGTACCAAATGTGAGGACAAGTCTTTAAAGCTCAGAAACTGGATAAAACAAATGGTTTCTAGAAACCCATATAAAACACAAAGAAAATTAAAATAGAGGTAATTGCACTTACCTGTAACCATACAACTAACACAGCGGAAGGCACTGTGTGCTCTGTTGTTAGTATTGTTCCCCCGGCCCCTACTCACATTAGCTGCACTAGCTTAGCTCTCAGCAGCAGATATAAAGTATTAGCGACTCCTCTGCAACCACGACTCAGTAACGTACCCTGCGCTCACGCTCCTGAACACTTCACCCGTGTCACGCTGCTGCAAGCTACAGGACACGGTGGCACAAAGGAAGTGCTCCGAGACCAGCCCTAGTTTATTGCTGTAATGAAGGTACAAAGGAATATAAAGAAATAATGTGATTATAAGATGCTTATCTGTTCCATTTCTTGGTTCACATTGTACATAGTAACACCTATACTTTTCTTCCAACCCTTTCTGAGGGTCAACTGTTTATAAGTAAAATGAAAGGAATTTTGGGGGGGTGAAAAGTAGGCTAAATATATTTAAAAAAATCATACTAATTGAGATTTGAATACGTGCAATTCCATATACACAGTGAGATGTTTATCACTTACAGCGTAATGCGATACACACAACTTTGTTTGATGCATAAACTCAAATTATGCAACAGAACTGAAAACCCACCCCCGTGGATATTTGCTGCTATTTTGTGACGCTGAAACGACACAAGCCTGCATGAGGGGCTCATGTGAGGCTTGGAAGTTTTTGCCAGCTCCTCAACTTGTTTATACTTCCCTTTAGGAAAAACAAGTACACCATCAATCTAACGGCTGTGGCTTGAAGAGACGGAAGATCTCCTGGAATTACCGTATTCTAACACGGTACAGATAAAGAGATATAATTTTGTTCTAGTCCTCCACTGAAATAATGCTTTGAAACTGCCATTAATAGATATGAAGCCAGAACAAATTCTTAGTTACAAATGAAAAATGTTCATATAAAGAACAGACCTGTAGAAATGTCATTTGCAGATCTCAAGAATTACAAGTTTGAACAACTTATGCCTCTCTATCTGCATGCAGAAATCTGAAACTACTGAATCGGAAGCCAAGAATCCGATGCAGACAGCTTCAGTTAACTGCAAAAATGACCATGATCCCAGTTCTGGACCATCAAAATGAAGGTTCTGATTCTGTTACACACACAACACCTATGCGTAACTGTATTTAGTGGATCAAGCTTTAAAATTTACAAGGAAACCCCACTTTTTTCCTATTATTCCAGAGAATTCACTGTGATGTTATTAAATACTACAATTGTTTTTAGAATTGTCAAGTAAGGGAGTTGTGTTGACTTTTAGAGGATGCTACTTTACCTATTTATTTTATAATGGTTAACGGGTTTTAATAAAGACCTGATTCTCACACCAAATCAAGTTAACCTATGACTCTACCTTGGACCTGCTTCTGGCATACCGAAAACATTAAGGAAGAGCTTTAGGGGCGGCGGGGAGCAGGGGGGTTCGCGAGGGGTGGGAAGGAGTTGTTTGGGGGAAAGACCACGAAGATGCGTATCAGAAAACAGCCCCGAATAAAGCCCAGAATGGTTTCTAGGGGGTATTACGTACTGCGGTACTCTCTTTTCAGCGTAGTACCACGCAGAGTGGACGTATCTGATCACAGAAATCCAGGTGCGGGTTTTTTTCCTGGTGCCCGTGATGTGTCTCTCGCCCTACCCAACGTCTCAGCAGCAGCAGTGCCTCCCCAGGGGCACCGCCCCTCCGCCCTTCCCTGCGGTACCGCGCTTCACGAGCTTCTCACAGCTCAGGCACGGGTTCTATCTATTATTCAGTATTTATCACGTTTAACTTCGAGGTGGCTGTATTTTATTGACGAACGGTACATAAGAAGTTACGACCGGAGAGCGTTTTATGGGGAACCTGGAGCACACTGGAGAAGAAACTGCAGTTCTCTCAGTCTACGTATTTTATTGAAAACAAATGTCATTTTGATAAACAATTTATGTAGCAAAACTGTAACTGGAATGAATTTGAAAATTAATATTTAGTGTAACAGGATTACCCCTGCAGGGTTTTTTTAGGAGTACCGACACGTACTTGGCTGTAAAGCTCTGTGGTTTTGACCCATCGATAAAACAGGAGGAGACCTCTGACTTAAAGCAAATTAGATGTTACTACGCTTATTAGTGACAATATCAATTATTTCAATTCCATCAAATGCAGCCTGTTTTACTCTAATAACTAATAAATATAAGTACGCAGATGGACCCTTACCCATTATCTGCTCCTCACCTTTCTTTGAAAAATACTTATAAAGAAACAATTACAGTTTATAAAAGCCTGGAAAAATATTTACATTGGAAAAAAAATAAAGTGACTAAATAATCATGAAAAAGAAGTAGTCTGAAATGTAAACGGCTAATCTCATAGAAAATGTAACAATTTTTTTTTTTTTTTTTTTTTAAAATTGAGAAAAGATTTGGGAGATTGGATACTGAAGTGCAATAGGAACAAAAATATTAAGACTACTGTCTCAAAACATGCCAAAGGATTAGTATTGCCTCCATTTTAAAGACAGGAAAAGAGACACATGAATAATACCTTGTCACTTGCATCACTTTTCAAATTATTGTCAGTGAAATTGTGATGCTAAAAAGATTTTGTGACTGTACATGTCAAAGGCACCGTGTAATTGTATTTATTACTTCTAGTCCCCACAAATGGACTATGCCATGTCATGAAAAAAGCAATGGTAAATCCATAGTGATACCACCAAATTACTTGGAATCTGCAGATGGGTAAACTAGATTTTGAATGGCTCTGGCCAGCAACCTCAAAGATTTACATCCACAGAGTATTTTCAGCAACTAATTCGGAAGGCAGACAAAATGCCTCAACAGGCTTTATAAATATCGCTAGCACCACTGGAATTGCCAGACTGAAAGATC